CAGGAATTGAGGTGGGCATTAGTCATGGCTTTTTTTGAGAAGACTGTGCTACCTGATTTAATAAACTTTTATTTCCTTCTCGGTTTGAGACACTGGGAGACATGAACATCTCTAAGTAATGTGAATGGTATTAATATTAACATGTTAAGGGTTACTTCAGCTTTTAGTCATCTGAACTTCACAAAGCTACCAAGGTTCATGAGCTACCTTAAATACAGGAAATTCTTAATCAGGTCACAGAATCTGATGGGTCACAAAATATGATCTAGTAAGTGTTATCTCATAATCATGAGATTTTTTTTTCTCATAATTAAGACATGCTGAAATTTGCCTCTGTAGAAAACCTTTCCCACAGGTTTGAATCTGAACCTGAAGCCCATCAGCATCACAGTGCGTCAGTTGGTGTGTGAGTAATTAAAATCAGGCTGCAGAAATAGAAGTGTTGATGGTTGCCTTCACATCTTTATGACCAAAAAACTCTTTACGGTTTCATATGCAAACTGATCTCCTTCATCCTTGTTCAGTCGGGCCCTCCCTTCCCTCTCTCTTTCTCTCCCTCTCTCCATACCTCTAGGTTTGAGATCGACGAGACTTCACCGAGCATGTCCGGGTGCTGCGGCGACGACTGCTCTTATGAGATCCTCAGCCGCCGGACCAAACATGGCGAGGCCTCGTCGGGACACACCCACGGCGGTGGGCACTGCGGGGGCTGCTGCCACTGATTCAACTTTCATGGCTCTGTGTGAAAGCTTTGAGCTGCCTGCTGTTCTGCGAGTTCGAATGGCCGTAGAGTGCTGTTAAAAATGAAGTGATGGTAGAATACCTGGTTACAGAAATTGATGTTGCATTGAGTGAGATTTATGTGTTGTTTTTTGTGTATATTCCTGGTACAAAAGCAGTATGCAGTGTGAGCTTTCACACATAGCTCTAGTTTTTTCTTCCTAGTTCTTGGTTCGATGTCCACACCATCTTTTCTCACTCTCTTATCCCAGTGGCTATTAGTAGTTCCCAGTCAAGAAAAGCTAAAGCATTATTGATATTCTCTAC